TGGATATTGGAACGTGAGTGAAGTAGGCTACATAGTAAATAATAATTTGCTATTCAAATACATCGCGAATACGGAAACATTTGATTTTGTGTGGAATGAGAGATCCAACGTTGGTTTCAGTTTCCTTTTAGCCTAAATTAATTTGTTTTGGCTTGTCGTTTATATTGCTATAACTTCTTATATTTTTAATTCTTGTTCTTTTCTAAATACTGTTAATTGAAAGGATTTGTTGTGGAGTGAGGGGAACTAAAATAGCCTAGCTATGTTTACAGTGTTATAATGTTTGTAAACATTTCGCGTGGGCATTAGGCCTATTTCTGAATGAAACAATAAAATGCCACTTATACACGCGACTTATGTTTTTTCTCCCTAAAAAACAATTTTTTTTTATAAGCGTAGCGATTTAGAAAACGCTTTAGAAAACTGAGTTGGGCCGAGTACCAAAACAAACTTGTAGTCAATCAGCAGTAAGGGGCGTGTCTACTCATGATGTGGAGGAGAAAACGCTCAGTGCACAGGATGGACATTAGCGACAGAAAGATAGAGATAGCGGATAAAAAACAAAAGAGGAAAATGGCGGATAAATATCGGATCACCTTTCCAGCGCTGGAGAGAACTCAAGGAGCGGGAAGGCCTGAGATCGGACGCCGACGTTGCTTTGTTTCTTCTCGATAGGTGAGTAACACCGTGTCTACACCAGACGCGACAATTGTCTCGCCATTCCGCAACAGCTAAAGTCTGTCTACACTGGATGCGATAAAGCGGCCGTTGAAACACGTTTAACTGATTGTATTAATCGGTCAAAATTCTTACGGTCGGTTAACCGGTTAAACGGTTCAAATGAACATCCCTATTACAATTATGAAAACGTTTTTGTAAATTGCTGACAGTACAATACTGGAGAATGATGTAATCTGCAGAATTTACACTTCAATTATGAGACTACAGTGTTTCCCATACATTGATTTATTTGTGGCGCCCGCCACAATATCAAAACTGACCATCACAAATAGATTTTTCAAAAGGCTTTGACTTCATTGAATAAACATGAGCACTGCACTGCCTCCTGCTGGCAGAGAATGAATTTGCATATATATGCCGCCACAAATAGAGAGTGCAAGTCTGTGGGAAACACTGGACTATGGTATAAGTAAGTTCAACTGTATAACAGTTTCGCTGCAATTCATGTTATAATGTTAGAATTAAAGAATAATAAACATAATATATATGCACTTATCTGTACATAGTAAATGCAGTTATTTTTAAGCGGTTGTTGACATCCCATCTAAAACGTGATTTAGCCAAAAAAAACAACAACAACAACAATAACATTACCACTCTTATATGTCTTGCAATATCCGTGCGTCCAAAGATTCTGCGCGATCCTCTTGTTCAATATTCTCGGGGTCTGAATCCGGCTCAAATTGATATGGCAATATTGACGCCATCCTTAACTATACCGGAGCAGACAGAACTTGCTGCTTTGGCAAGGGGCGGAGCAGTATTGAAACACCGTCTAAGCTGTTCACCAATCACAACGCACTGAGACCGCTAACCAATCACAACACATTTATTTTTTCGGAAGGCGGGCCTTCATCAAACCCGGAACTAATCGAGCCATTTGTGCCAGGCTGGGGAGAAAGGTATTATAATAATGTAACTTATGTGAAAAATAATGCGTTTTTCGAACCACCAAGCATGAGAGCATGTTCTAGTACACCCCCAAAACAAAATCAAGACTTTGTAAAAGAGCATAATAGGACCCCTTTAAACGTGCCGAGACAGATCCATACCCTGTTCATCGCTAAACTGGCGAGCAATTCCAGCTGCAGCGTTGAACCGATTCCCCATTGAGTGTCTCCGAATTATCCTGTCTTCTTGTGCATTTGTCTTTGCACAGCCTTTTTGGGGGACTTGAATGAATTAGTGTCATTGTACAGCTGCAATATTCTAGAAATCACACATTTGGAACGACCAGCCTCTCGTGCAGTGGCTGAAAGGGTCATCCCTTTGGCCTTCATCTGGACTGCCTCCTGTTGAAGGGTTTCAGTCACCTTAGAGCGGCCTGCCATCTTGCAATCTCAGTGAAAATTAGAGGAATACTGCCAGTTAAATAGGATTTGTCATTATAATTAAGGAAATTAGCACCAGGTGCCAGATAAACACCAATAACTTGTAGGTTTCTGTAAGTGTTCTCTAATTTTGATCAGAGTTCTTTTTCAAATATCTCTTTTAGGTTTTTAATACTGTGCTTCTGAATACAATTAATGAAATATGCATAAAAAACTGCCCTCTTACTCCTGTTAGAATAACTTCAAATATGACTAAGCAGTGACCTTGAAATTTAGAAAATTGCAGGTTGTTCTCTAATTTTGATCTCCACTGTATATATGACTGACTTACCAGGAAGTGACATTCTAAATTTTAAGCTCTGAAATAAAGAAAATAATTTTATTTACGATTATATTGTTTAGCCTGGTGTGTTCTATTAATAGGCTGAAATTATTCATTAGTCTATACACCCTGCTTCCTCTCACCTTGCTCCTGGACCAAGATCGTTTCACGTCTGTCTGAGCTTCATTAGTTTGCCCAGACCATTCTAGAGATTTCCCAACTCTCATTATGACATCCTGTGGCTTTTCCTGTGTCACATTTTGTACCAGATCTGTTGGAAATTAGATGACAATTTGATAAGTAACTAAGAAGTGACCAGATGAAATTTGTTATGGATTCATCCCTGCCCATTTTGTCATACCCTCATCCGTGGCCATTTCAAAAGACTCTGGAGTTCTTTCAGGCAGTGGGGGAACAGGTGAGGGCAGGCTGTCTTTTTAGAGAAAACGGGATCATTTACAGGTGCTGTCCATCAAATCTATACACAAATTTTCAAGTGTGCATAATTCTCACCTCTGTTGACGCTCTCAGAGTCTGAGCTGGTTGGGATCATCAATGTCAACATCTCGGTGTTTTCACTGATATCTGGAAACAAGACCATATATTGTGGTATAGGTTTAAAAAATATTTTAAGAAATTTAATAGAAAATGTACTGGACCATTTGTATATGTTGTAGCCTATGTCTTGAAATGTCAGTTTATTCAAGTGAGAATCAGTGTTGTTATTGTAACTATAGCTAATAAATAAAGTTGAAATCATAGAAGATATAAATATTAAATAGAAATAAATAAGTACTAAAATTTCAGGTAACACTTTTCTTGAGGCCTATATAATGCTTTACATTATAATACTTCATTTTATTTAATTAATGCATTAAAATACATGATAAACAATGGAATCTGCAAATGTTGTAATGCATTTTAATTTGTTTACAATAATTTATGTAAAGATATAATGCATTTCAGTGAATTATGAATACCTTAATGATACATTATACATAAAGGCTTACCAAATTACGGAAACTAAAACTGAAATCAAATAAATTAAAGCTAAATAGAAGTATTAAAAGCAAGATCTAATAAAAATGACAACATCACATACTATTACTAACATTAAAATGAAAACTGAACATATAAAAACAAAAGCCAGTTCAAAATGTTAATAAAAAATACTGTAATAGTATATAAAATACAACTAAAAAAGCATTGGTAAGGATATACATTTAGACCTTAAGTTGGACTAACCATTAATTTCATCTGCCAGTATAAATGACTCAGGGGTTCGCTCTGGCAAAGGAGGAGGGGTGTCTTCATCAGATGAAGGTGTATTTGCACCTTTATTCAAATTATAAAACAGGAAATCATCATCAAGTGATTCATCATAGTTTTTCAGAAAATCAGTTGTTAAAATAGTCATACCTTTGTCTTTGCAGTCATGTTTTGGCAGTTCTAACACCTGATTATTAAGAGCTAAACTAGGTATTGTGAAACAAGGGTTCTCCATCCATGGTTCACGAATCATAGTGTCCATAACACTGTGATTGTCGCTACCTGGTGGAGACTCAGGACCAAAATAAGGATCTTCCACAGTGAAGCAGACTGTGCTGGGGATAATAGGGTTGTGGTCTTTGGCAGCAGAACTGACATCTTGGTTTTCTGCACACTCCAGATGCTTCATACTCGGTCTCAGCTCAGGTACTAGGCTGATGGGATAGTTTGAACATGCAGCTTGGGTGAGATCAGTGTTGAAGCTGGTGGATGGCTCAGTTCTTTGAGATCCATGGGTTGTAAAGTCTGTTTGAGGAGTTGGTGCTATGAATAACCTCTGATCTTTAATCTGGGCCCATTCACTCGTTGTATTGAGCATGTCTTCAGGATTGAGTTTTGTGTAGAAGACCTCTTGACTGAATGGTTGTGAATAAGGCTGTGGCCAAGAAGTGACTTTGTCTGTGACATGATTGAGTTCATCCATTGGAATTTCCATCTCATTCCTATCACAACAGTGAAAGATTTTATTATGATCAGGAATACAACAAAGACAGTCACAATGTGTCTTAGAGTGTGTTTACACTTGCAGTTTTGTTCTCTTGGTTCTTTTGGTCTGGACCAAAAAAACTAAAATTAAACATTTAGTCCTAGTTCGCTTAGCTTTCACGCTGTCTTTCTTTAAACCGAACCTAAAGATACAAAATAAAAGGCATAAGGATACGGTCACAACCTGATTGGACAGCATTTATGACGTATATGTTACGAATTTACACAAACATCCCAAACTGATGTGTGCTGGGCTGAATGCACTCATTATATGTGTGTACTAGTGCTGTCAATCAATAAAAATAAAAAAAACGAATTAATCACACATTTTTTCTGAAATTAACTGCGATTAATCCCACCTAACATTAAAGTTTTAAAATATACTTTAATATTGCAATAATTTTACATTCAATCTTCAAATTAATGTAGAAACAACATAAAGACAGTATATTTTTTTTATATTAGTTTAGTGGCATGTTTTTTATGTCTGAATGTGAGTATCACTGATACCAATACTACCGATGTCTCTAGGAAATTGTTTTTTCCCCCTAATATTTAGCCATTCAACATTACAGTATAATTGAGAGCTATCAATTTTAACATTTAAAAGTGAACTTAAAACATTTAAAGTGAACTTAAAACAATCTTCACATAAACCCATTATAATAAATGTCATATTTAGCTACCTGTGCACTTCAGCAAATAGGAAATATACAGAAATTGAATAAAGTTATCAAACACTAAATTCTAAATTAAATATAGATGGATCTTTAAAGCTCTTTTTTCTTTTGTTCTTTGATTAGCAGTCATCACAGCAGCTGGGTTATTAGGTTATTTTGGCTGCTTTATGAGCTGCCACTGCTGAACTCTTTAGCTTTTCTGACCCACCTCAGGTCTTAAAGTCTCTACTAATGAGCTGACGAGTTGAATCGGGTGTGTTAGATTGGGAGACAGTGTTGGGCTGCTCCAGGACAGTTTTGAAAACCACTGCATTTCAGAGACATTTTATTAAATGTGACTCATATATAACACATACTAACATACATGCAGTTTTAAGGCAGCTTTAATCACCTTACTTCATGACTTCATGTCTTAACTGACGACATAACTACGACATTGCGTGCTCGTAGTTTCATTTGCGCTTTAATATAATATAGTGCTTAATATAATAGAGCACACGCCACCGCATTTGTACGTGCAATTGAAGAGTATGGGCTACGAGCACAGTATAATGGCTGACAGGACAGGAAAAATCATTTGACATATGGCCTGACAACATCTCATCTGACCGCAGTTCACTGTTGTTCTGCTGAAGCTCCCTTATCACCTGTATCTTTTCCACGCTCGTTTGACTAGAGCTTGGCGCTGAGGTGAAGTGGTCGTAAAGACGTTCCGCATCTAAATAAACGCAATTCTTGTCAAGAAAAAAGAGACAGAAGCAGCAGTTGTGAGTGGTGTGGCCAACCCTAGCTCCACCCCTGCATTAATTGCGTTAAATATGTTTAATGCGTTAAACTGAAAAAAAATTATCGCGTGCGTTAACACACTAATTTTGACAGCACTAGTGTATACATATTTTTACCAGCTAATAACTCACAAAGAGCTTCTAAATTGTGTAAAGGAATCAAAACAGCACCAGGAATTCCTCTGTTGCACACACAGAGATCTGCTGCAAGGAGACGGCAGTTCCGATTCCTTCACTGAACTGTAATAAACACCATAGATCATATGACAAGAAGAACCAGGTATTCTTAAGCGTTCAGTCCTTTTTATGGTCGCATTTGTCACATCACTTCCTGTTTTGATTTGTTAGATGTATTTGGTCCACGTTCCGTTCATATTTCATTGAAACTGCATCAGAGTTTGTTTGGAAGTGCACCGAGGCACACCTTTTCAGGAGGTCTCGGTCCATTTGTTTGGTGCGCACCAAGGTTCGTATGGCAATGTTCATACTTTTCAAATGAACCACACTAGCAGAGTAATCGCACGTTTTAATCGAACCAAACCAGCCAATTGTGAAATTACCCTTTGACATGAAACAATTCAAGACTGTTGATGACATTTAAGGAGTGTTTGGAGAAACCTCTTGGGAACAATTATTGGGCCTGTCCCAGTACCCACAATTATTATCTTGGCCACTTGAGAATGCGTGTATGCAGCAGGAAATAAGTGCAAAAGACTGTCCCAGATCTGAAAAATGCTAAAGCTCAGTGTCCTTGATGCACACTAAATCTCTAATAGCACTTTGGTGTGGTATTTGAGGCTAAGTGTAACACATTATGTTCAGGAACAAGGATAGCCCAAAATGGTGAGATGTCAAGTAAAACTTTCCAGTGTAAGTTAAATTACTTAGATGTTACAAAATTTGTTAGTAAAAAAAGTGTTTAACATTGAATTAGTGCAGAGATGGGTATGTGTATTTTGTAAAATGTTTGCAACTGCTTTTGAAACTGCTTATCACTTAGAGTCACCACAAAAATTGTCTTCTGTTACATAGGAACTGCTGAACAGAATGTTTATTTCAAAGTGCAAAGAACTGAAAATAAAAATGTATAAACTTACACAAAATTTCACTTACATTTTTACAGCACTATGCTGTAGTGTGTTCCATCAGGTAATAATAAGTTCTACACAGACCTGTCTTGACCACATGGGCCAAATACAGGAAATATGTCTTGTAAGTACACAAGTGTTCAAGTGCAAAGACCGCAAATGTTGGTTTTGGGACAGGCCCACTATATATATATATATATATATATGTGATATGTGTGTGTGTGACCCTGGACCACAAAACCAGTCATAAGGGTCAATTTTTTTGTAATTGAGATTTATACATCATCTGAAAGCTGAATAAATAAGCTTTCCATTGATGTATGGTTTGTTAGGATGGGACTATATTTGGCCGAGATACAACTATTATATATATACAACTGAAAATCTGGAATCTGAGGGTGCAAAAAAATAAAAAATATTGAGAAAATCGCCTTTAAAGTTGTCCATATATATATATATATATATATATAATCCTTAGTGATGTTATTAGAGCAGAAATTACATCAGCCAAAAATGAATATTTATTCACCCTCATGAGCATGAATAAATAATGACAGAATGTTTGTTTTTGGGTGAACTATTCCTTTAAAATGTGGATAAATTATATTAAAAGGAGATATTTCCTCATACCTGTGCTCAGTTTGAAGCAACGCTCTGAAGTCTGTCCCAGTCTCTGATTCGGAGTCGCTGAAATCTGAGAGCTCACTCCCACTACTTAAGGTGACAGGAGAGGGGGAAGCTGGGACCTGATCGATGATCAAATTAAATTGTTAATTTAAGAATGCAAAGCTGCATGCCATATAAGGTCAGCAAATGTTGTATAATGGATCATAACTGGGAAGCAAAATCAATGGGAAATAAAATTGTGTATTTATGTAAATAAAGAGTGAGTAATAATGATGGCTTATCTAACCTCTCTGTTTGGTTCATCCATTGCTGCCAGATATCTCTCAAACAGCAATTTGATGGTCCTGTATACTAGTTCATATTGTTCCTATGAGGAGAATAAATTATTTAATTATTTAAGAAAATGGAGACTTTTTGTTTTTATTGATGATGGCAATTTAAGAAACTAAGTTGGTTACCTTAGTCTGAACCACAGAGGGCCTCTGTGTACGCATGTCCTTTACCAGTTCAAAGATACTGAAATTCTCTGGTATCATCTAAACAAGAGCAAATAAGATCAACAACTTGTCAGAATATAGATTATATTGTGCCAGTATAATGAAAGCTTCAATAAGATGTTTTGAACTCTTACCTGTCTCTTCAGTAGATTCCAGGTATAGTCAATGGCACACAATGCACCTGTTCGTCCACAGCCTGCACTGCAAATCCAAGAGTTCCAATAGAATGAGCCACAGTGAAAACACAATTCTCTTTTCTTACATTTGAGCAACTTACACCCTTGAGTGTAGTATGAGTGTAGTATATGAGTTGCAGTTTTCTACATAACACTGCTGTGGAGTGATGGAAAATTTCAAGTCAATGAGCTGCCTATAAGGTGCTCAGAATATTCTGTGTAGAAAAACTTTTTAAAGTTAATCTTTACAGCATTAATAGTTGAATAACACTGTTGAATGTAGCTAATCTTTAGCTAATTTCAAAACAAATATCCATTTTCATACTATGCATTATAATTTGATGACAGATTCACTTGTAGCATTTAAAACATATATATTTTAATTATATATTTTCCATTATTTTATTTGTCATTTCTTTAGACCAAGTAGTATTGAAATTAATTAATGTCAGCTATCAGCCACAACATGAAAATAATTGAAAACAGAAACATAATTGTAGTATATATTTATATATAAATGTGGCAGTAGATTCATTCACTAGCTTGTTTGATATGTAAAGTCTTTCTGAATAGCATTAACTGGCATTGTAACTCAGTGTTAGCAGTAGTGCAGATACTTGCTGGGGCATTTGCTTGTTGTTGGTCAACCACCAACACATTTCCTGTGTAAAAAACGGAGGTGGGCTTCTTCCTTGGTTACCGATACAAACAACCTGTTTGTATCAGTATCTTGCATTCATGGCCACCAAAAATTACACCATGGCCACAATATGACCTCAGACTGATCTGATTAGCCCTCAAATGCAGTCATTGTAAAAATCAATCCTAACAGTCCATCACAGCAAATAGAGGCATTTACCTGCAGTGAATACAGATGGGAATCTCGTCATGATCCTGGTAAATCCGCATGTCCTGCAGCAGCTCCAGGATGGCAGGAATGGAGTCGGGTACTCCGTGATCTGGCCAGTTCACATAGTGCAGCTGTTTCAGTGTCCGAGACACCTAAAAATAACCGGTGTAATATAGACTGTTTGTTTATTCTGGTAACCTGGTTTTTAAACCACCACATTTTGGTGGTTTTCTTTCATCACTACAAAACATCTGCTGAAATGTCAGCACCTGTCTGTGTTTATGTTTGTTCCACTACAGTGTCTGTACAGTCTGAACTTTTTGACTATTAAAGCTGAATACTTCTACTCTTACGCAATGACATTTTCAAGGGAAAATCTATGAACGGGTCATAGGTCACCACGACAAAATGTTTGACCTAAAGCAATATTTTTAAAGCTTATTAAACTTGACTGAAGTGTGAACACATCCAGCGATCAGTTTATAAAGCAGTTATTTAATGGCAAACAACTAGTCAGGACATTGGGGAAAATTTGATTTTTAAATTGTTTTATTTTAAAAGCAAGGATAAAAAGCAATAAAAACATTTAACTAAATGTACAATCTTTTCGTATAAACTATAAAGCCTGTAAAATAGGGTAAACTAACATATTTTTCAGTGCGGTGAAGTCAAGATCAAAGAAATGTTACTTACTTGTTTAAATGTCACCTTCAGTGTCCGTGTCAAATATTCTCCCTTATTCTCATCAGACTCCTGGACAAAATCAAACATGTACATGACTTGAATGCTCATTGGATCAGTAAATTGCAGATAATATGTTGGCTAATATTATTCAATAGTGAAAACCATAGTGCTAAAAGGTGCAGAATGTACAACCCTTAAATATAACATTATTGTTTTTAAGAGATAAATAAACTAAAAATAAACATTTTTTTAAGTGCTACAAGTGAATTTAAGCATGCAGCACAAAATTATGAAGTACAATATGAAACATTGATATTCATTTTGAGATTTGCTAAAGATTACATTCAGAAGTGTTACTACATTTACTAGTGTTTTAAAGATAAACTAAAAAAAAAGAATAAAAAGGTACCGGTGATTTTCTGCCATTATCCATTACGTTTACAGGCATTTCCTAATTCAAAATACAGGTGAAACACCTCTGAATAATCTATACAAAATATTACTTTATATTAAAACCAACTTTTATTAATGCAGGTGAGTCCTATAAAAAAGGTAATCTAAATAAAGCAAATAACCTTGCACAATTAAATATTCAGTTTAGACTGATACCAATAACCAATATAGTACTGATCATTTGTGAGCCCTGATAGTACTGATAATGTGTTTTTTTAAACGGTAACATTTTTGTTTGTTATAAATGTCAACATACCAATAAAATATAGTGACATTGTGAAAGAACGCAACATCGTACTTAGTGGTTCAATATGTAGTGTTTTAGATACTGCGTGAATACTGAGAATCGGGCTTGAACAGATGTGTGTGTGTAAGCGCAAATAAAACACAACACAAGGACAGGAAGTTTGGTGTGAGTGAGGGAAGAGGTGTTTCTTACATAGTATATGGTAAAGGGCTCACACACAAACACTTCATCCTTTGACTCCGGCCAGTAACGCTCACATTTTTTCTGAAAGAAAGAGGAAAAGCAGCATTCAGTCTCAACTGCTTGCTTCTGTCTACTCTATGAGAATTTCTACGCGGAGTGCATGGCAGCACTGTAACCGTATCAAAAGTTTTGAAAGGGTGGGAGCTCAAGATAAAAAAAGAAGTAGAAGAAAATGACATGCTTGATGCATTGCCTCACCATTCTGAGGATGTGGTTAATAAAAAATGTTTACTTTAAAACACCGTGACTGTCAACATTTCCCCTATAACACACTGTCAGTTACAACTTACCCTTCCCATTTCAAACTCCCGGCAAGCCATCACAATAACCTGCAGAGAGCGAGTGAGATATTATAGAGGCATTTCTGTAGATTTCATTGTGTGAATGTTTCTCCTTGGCCTGAGATCTCACCCAAAGCTCACCTAACAGGTTGAACCTGTTTTCTACAGGAAGTGGAATGTGTGTGAAATGTTCATAACCAAGCGCTTACCTGCACATTGTATTCCCAAAGCATCCTCCAGAAGTCAAGCACAGTGTTTGGCAGCGGGCCTTGTGTGGCAATATACGCCCTAGAGCCCAACACTCCCTGAAATAAAACAGAACTGAATCCTCCTGAATCGCACTGATATTTTGTCAGTTATTGTTTAAGCATTACATGTTCTGTTTAATCTGATCAGTGTATAGTTGTATACTCTTCAAATCTGGTAAAATGTGTATAGCTTGAGATCTTTCTTGCACTTCCTTACCTTAATGAAACTAGCATTGATGTAATCTGTGTCATGTTTGGATGTGATGAGGGAGAGCTTCACTCTGCTGTGATCAACTGTGAGAAAATACAGCCATCAGCATCTCTAGCACATCTTGTTTCTGTAATCTTCACAATCAACACTTTCCATGGTTTTTTATGTAACTGCCACTTTCACAAATCTTGTGTTCATCTCCCACATCCATGTTTGTCTTTAGCATTGTCTACTATGATGAAATATAATATTTTACGGTATAATATACCCAGACAGCACACAAACCGTACAAGGACATTCCCAGTCCCTGCATGACACATCACATGAATATATTTTACGTAAAAAAAAAAAACATATTTTTGTTATCAGTGCATTAAGGTGTTTGTGTTACATTTCCTGTTATTTAGTTGATGTTTATTGCATTATTTTAGTGTTGTGTGTTACACTGATGGTGTTTTGTTTCTGTGTGTATGACCCTGTGCACCGTTTACGTACAAGCATTGGCCTTTTATTATAGACAACAAGCCACTTGCGATTCATCATGTGGTTTTCTATTTTGACACCATACGCTAGTAGTTATCAGTATATTTATCAGTATAAGGAGATTTTGGTACTTCATGCAGACTGGTATTTTAACATTATATAACTTAATGAAATGTACGTTTATGTTGTAAAATATACAGTCAGAACATTTGAACATACCTGAAACATTTTCCATGTTTTTTTATGCTGAATTTCTGGCAACCATAATTGCTGTTTTTTTCCTTAAATGTAACAGGATATTTTTATAGTGTATGTAAATCTGCTTTTTTAAAAATGTTTATCAGATATTAGTACACAGATATTAGCTTTCCAGATGCACTGTATGTGTGCTTAGTGGGTATAATATATTGTAGAAAATAGTACGGTACAGTATATTATGGTATAGTATACTGTACTGTACTATAGTTTAGTCAGATGTCAAATGGGATACTCACAGGGAACAATGTCTTTGTATCTGTTCTTCTTCACATTGTCTTGTTTGTCCGCAACTGTGGTGGGGTATGTCTTCTCCGCACGATATTTAGTAGACTGTCTCTTCAGTTTCTGTTTTGAACAATTTACAAAAGATTCAGTTATGATTTTGTATAAGTTTGTGCTATAAAACTTTTGTATTCTCTCATCATTTTATTTTCTGCTTATATTGCAGGTAGTCCAAGCCATATGTTCAGGGCTGAGCTGTCAATACTGATATTATTTTAAAAGACAAAGCAGAGTAAGAAAACCTTCTGTGTTTGAAACGATCTTATTTGCCATGTATTTGACATCTCAACTGTGATACTGTGATACTGTGATCTGATACTAACAGACTAAAGCCCTGTGGAAAAGCACTAAAGCACTTTACAGCCCTGTGGTTAAGATTTGTGAAAACTAGAAAAGTCTGTCTGTGTATGCGTGAGTGTGTGTGACTGCCACAATATGCATGTGGGATGTACCATCGCTCAACTGTGTGTCTCTCTGCGCACAAGCACCTTGATCAGACCAAGAGACTTTCCGACCACAGCTGAGCTTACGAGAACCCTTATGAGCCCAACAGACAGTGAGCAATATAGCAAGCTGAGTAATTAGCATGGGATCTCTGAGTCGAAACAGGCAGGACTGCCTATGAGGAACCAGCCCCTCCCACTGTGGGAAACCCTCATGTTTTGTCCAAGAGTTTTGTACAGTGAGACTGGGCTCTGACATTTCTCTACATTGATGTCCCTTGTGTGGGCATAAATTGCAGTCCAGCAGTGAGGACCAGTGTGATGGGAACTTAGATTTGCATGCCCTGCCAAATAGACAGTTTCTCTTCCTGTAAACACTCTATTAGTGAGCGAGTCGAATCACTATTATGGCAGAAGTCTTGTTTGGCAGAAGTTTGACAGAGATAATAGAGCAGCATGTCTGAAAGTGCTTTTTTTAATCGGAGTAGGAAGAGACCACTTCATGCGATTGAGAAAGCAGACGGGACATACAGGGCCTTCCTCGTGGCCTGGTTTCACAATGGGAAAATCTGTATAAAGACACAAACTGAACACTTTGCAGCTGCTGACGACTATAAAAGACACTCTGTAGCGTTCAGCCTGGACTAAAGAGCATGTTTTGTTCAGCAGGACAGGATAAAGCTGTAGTGGCAAAGACAGGCCTAAAATCTGTTTGGTACTTCAGGGTTTAGCAAATGTGTACAGATGTGTCACGCTTTACTGAGTTATAGATACAAGAGTAGCATGTAACTTGGTGATACATTTTTAAGGTATACATTTTAGTTATAGATACAAGAGTAACATGTAACTTGGTGATACATTTTTAAGCCTTAAAAATTAAGTGATGGTATTTTTTAGTTGTCATACATGGCAATCGTGTGTCGTATGACAATCCAGTGTTGTAACCTTCTTTTACAGCAATGGTTTTAAAACATTTTGATGCTAATGACCCCAAAATATGCTTCCTAAAATATATATGCTCGATATTTTCATTTACACCCATACATAAATGTAATATATGTAATAAATGTACATATACAAAATGTTTGTCATATGAAATAAAGACATACATGAAATCTATTAGAAATTGGAATGGTTTCATATATTAATAAATATATCTAGCCCATACAGATATGTATGTTTATGTACAGTGCTTAACAAATTCATTAGACCACCACCACCCAATGTAAGGTTTGTGCTACAGCTACCCTAAACTAACAGTATTGGTGATTACCATAATCATTATTATTTATTTATTTTTTGTTTATGTAATGGATAATCCACCAGTATGTGTAATCTCTTTAGTCACAGTAGTATTTGTAATGCTAAAATATATATAATTGTTGATATCCATGAATTTTCGAATTTACTGTTTTACAAGAAAGTAAAAAAATAGTAAAGCACTTTGTTTTTGTTTTGTTTTTTTAAATAATAATAATAATAATAATAATAATAATAATAATAATAATAATAATAATAATAATAATAATAATAATAATAATAATAATAATAATAATAATAATAATAATAATAATAATAATAATAATAATAATAATAATAAAACATCATAAGAGAACAAGCATTTTTGAATTTTTTCATTTTTGTATTGCTAAGTTTGAGTCAACAGCTCAGCATGGGTCATGAGTAACTTCCTCTCAGTCACCATGACTGTTCACATGGATATCTAACAGTTGACATTTGAGGGAAATAGCATATGAAGGTTATTTTGGAAACAAATCTAAGCAGAAGTGGGGTCCAAAAAGTCCCTTGTTGTAGACAGTCATCCATAGATTCAATAATAAATTAGTTTGGTAATAAATAACCACACCAGGTTTAAAACGTCTTGTACAAAAGCCTAAAGTGAGAGGCACTGTATTAAGAAGAGGAAGTCCACGCTTAGCCATTTAAGCCTTTGCATCAACTCGCTGCCCAGACATGTTTTATTTTTAGCTTACTTTTGGCACATGCAATGCTAATATTTTTATTATCTCAGTCCATTCATTTACAAATCTTCACATTGCCGCACAAACATTGCATGTAATGTAAAAAAGCAAGATTGTTTTAAGCCTAGCATACAGCTACCCCATACAGGTGTACGTTGGTATCTTTTGCAAACTATGTGTTGTCACATAACATGAATCTGAACATCTGAGAACGTATTTTCTTTGTCTCGAACGAAACCCTGCCATTTTGTTAATAACTTACCAAAAACTCTCCAGCAAAGCCGTTCTCTGCCCCTTCCTCTTCTGCTTCCTTGCTTGCGATTTTGACCAATAGGTCCCTCAGAATGTGGGCTTGGGCATCCATGGCATGATGTGTGACACAGCAGCTTCCTCTGTCATGTCAGAGATTGAGGAGATCGTTGGGCTTCTGAAAGGAGTCCATATTTCACTTTCTCTCTGTGTGTCTCTTGTAGGTCTGTAGTTGAGTAGAGGAACTGTGCGAAGTGTCGTCACGGAAGCAGTGGCAGCAACAGTTCACAGGTTCTGTGGTCAACTCTAAGTATCACTGTGACCCTCTCCGCCCTTCATCTCTCTCTTCAGTTTCTCTCGCTTTTTTCATTGTTGCATACCTAGTACTGTTTATTGTCTGTTCTGCGGCCTTCTCTCTTTTTCTCTGCCTGCCTGTTTCTTTCTGTCCAACACTTTGTAGCACAAGGTCTTAGAGCCCATACCCCCACACAGGAAGCTTTTGTGGGTGGGTGTGCGCTTGTATGTAAAAAGATATTGAGAAAGTCAGTCATTTGCTTCATTGTTGAAAGCAGCAAAGCCAGTTTGATGACATTCAAAACAGTTGTGGATGAACTAGAATTTAGAGAATGTGTACATGTCAGAGAGAGATACTTGTGTAGCTCTTGGAAATAAATGTATTCAGGTAGTTGATCTGACATATCAGGCAATGACAGAAGCGTCCTCTTGCAGTGTGACATGCTTAAATGACATTTTAGAAATGTAATATTTTCTAATTCTCGTATAATTCTTACTTTTAAACAGGAATTTGCCACACTACATGACTACACGTGAACTGCAAGAGATGTATCTATTTAAAATTTATTATTTTAGATATATTTTATGTGTGTGTGTGTGTGTGTGTGTGTGTGTGTGTGTGTGTGTGTGTTTAATTTGTCATACCACATGACTTTAAGTGAACTGAAAGAGATACATCTATGTAAAAATGACAAGAAAATACTATTTTAGTCTTTCTACTTCAACATTTCACACACGCACACACACACATACACAGAATTATTCCAATCCTTATGGGACATTCCATAGGGGTAATGATTTTCTATCCCCTTACCCTAACCCTACCCCTCACAGAAAACTTTATACATTTTTGGATTTTCAGAATACTTTATTCTGTATGATTTATAAGGTTGTTTCCTCATGGGGACCTAAAAAGTGTCCCCACAAGGTCAAAATTTACTGGTATTACTATACTTGTGGCGACCACACCAACCCTACACCTAAACCTACCCCTCACAGGAAACTCTCAGCATTTTTAGATTTCAAAATAACAAAACAAAAAAAAAACACCATCTAGTGTTTTTAAGCCATTTGAGTTACAGGGACACAGCAAGTGTCCTCATAAACCACCTTCACATTATAATATCTATGTCATACCCATGTCATTATACAAATTTATGTCCTCATAAACCACACACACACACACACACACACACATTTATATATATATAAAACTAATAATTTATTAATCAAAAGCTTTTACATTGGAAAAGGTACTTGGAAGGTAAGTCTTCCATCTAGTGGCTGTTTAATTCAATTGCATTATTTGACCTTTTCCTGTTTTGTTTCAGTGAAAAATGGTCTATTAAAAGTACAATTTCCTTTATATCACTTTGTAATCTTACCGAAAAAGGTTAGATTCTCTGTATTCTAATTCTTATTCTTTTAAAGTTTTTGCATGAAGAGTGCTGTTTCCTTTTTTTAGGCTTAGTGAAGATGTACTGCGTGTGTTTATGTCTACATAAGTCAGCATACTCAGAGCATACCGTACAATGCCATTTGAAAACCACAGTTTGCCCATCGCTGCCTTACATCCTGTTACATTTTTAACAGCATGCAACAAGGGGCTTCAACACATAACATAGCTCTCACACACTCATCAACAGTATGAAGGGAATGTACTTACTGCTTTTAGCACAGAGTAAGTCTCTTTTTACTGATCTATTCACAGGAGTTTTTGTGTTTATCTGCCTTGTATTTGTTTAGTAAATTAAACCTAAATTTCTGTCAGAGTATAGTTTTATATGTAAAGAGACTGGTGTTGGCATGTTGTAACATGCCATGATTTACCACTTAGAAGTTAGGACATGCATGACCACCACACAGTTTATGAGTACTTTTAGGTGGAAAAATAAAAATTTATCTTCTGGTTTATAATCTGATTTGCTATCATGTTAATGCATTTTTAATGACTTGAATTGGCATCACCTGAATCACATCCTCTTGTGAATCAGATTTTCTTGTTTAATTTGATGTAGCATTTACTCAAAATTTTACAAACCTTTAAATATCATATCTGAGCAGATGATAAGAGTTGTAACCACTGGTCTTTTCACACATAGATTGAACAAAATGACCTGAACAAAAAACATGCACAAACAGTCTGTTATGGGTTTGCCGTTTTAGAATGATTTTTAATGCTCTTTTTAAATTAAAATTCTTAAAATAAAATTAGTTTGAAGTGTTTTACATTCATTTACAGTTTAGCAGATCATAATTTAAGTATGATATATATATATATATATATAAGTATGATATATATATAGCGCAGAAAACATTGAGTTACAAACGTTAAAGCAAAAAGTGTTACAACCATCCAAGTCCATATAGTGGAAATGGTCTTACAGTTACAGTGAAAGTAATGACAGATAATTTCTTCAGCATTTTGACACATCCGAGTGAAACAGATTATCGAAAATGAAAAAGTGTAGGGTGGGAACTTGGGTCTATGCATCAGTTATTTTTTGAGATGTGGGCGTTTAAAAGTGGAGGCAGATGAATGCAAGCTTCCAGGGGCGGGTTTAAATGGACTAAATGATTGGAGCTAAACGATTGGAGAAATCCTGTATATGTCAGGATTATGTAGGTTAGGGTGATTCCAAGGGTTCTGACAAAGGGAGAGGGGTCCCGAATAATAAATGTGCTTGAATAAAAACAATATATTTTAATAATCAACTTTATTTACACAATGTTTAAAAATGTAACTTTTTTTCTTTAGTAAGTCTGCAGTTTCAGTGTGATAAAACAAAGATTCAAGCCACAATTGGAAGCACATTGACTATTATCTGCACCTACAAAACATCCCAGTTCCGATTTAACAAGAAGTACTGGTGTGCTGGAGACTCCAGATCCTCGTGTAAAGTTCTGATGGACACAGATGGATTCACACAGGCCTCATAACGAACACGGGCTCAAATCATTGACCGAGTTTCTAGAGGTTTGGTTGTTTATATAGGAGATCTAAAGTTGGATGACCGTGGAATGTACTGGGTCGGGATTGACAAAATTTATACTGATATAATGACAAGGATACAAGTCACAGTAACAAAAGGTAAGACTTTTTTCATCATGTGAAGTGTGATTAAGCCAATCTGAAAGATAATTTGGCCAGTGTACCTGTAATTGTTCACATTTGAAAATTGACTTTCACAGTAAGAAATATCAATTTAATTTCAGAGGCTGTAATAAAACCAAACGTTTGGCCTCTCAGTTCCCCAGAGATGACATGCTGGGGACAACCATCTGCGTTTCGCTGTAGAAGTGAGAGAGGAATGGATGTGCGGTACACTTGGTACAGAGTTGGACACCCAAATAACATTGTCCTGCACCATTCCACTGATCTTTTTCTCCATCGTTCAAACATCACTGAAGACAGTCAGCTTTTCTGCTCGGCCTTTAATGAGGTCAGCAGCCAGAACAGTGAATTTGTTTCTCTGCAACTACTTCAGCCTGCAGACAAGGACTGTGTTTATCTCATCTCATCAAACGGTGAGTTTAACTTGTACATTGTTTAAGTATTTTATTACATTGCATTCTGGAATTCGTGATTCTGATTGGCCAGTTGCACCAAACAGTGGTCAGCTAAGGTGCATTCACACCAAGGACCATAACTATAAGGCATGATGAACTGAGCTATTTGAACTTAAGATTTTTAGTAATTAGTATTTAGCAATTAGCATGCACATGTCCATTAAGTCCACGAGACTGTAGGGTGTCCAATTCATAATTTTAGCTTTCAGAAGGGTGCTCGCAAGTGCCCCCTTTTTGAGAAGGGTATACCCGCAGCCCGGAGAGCTCCAAATGGGGGCGGGAACTCCAAAACGGGGTGGGAGCTCCAAAATAGGGCGTGGCTTGCTCCCATTGACAGACAGGCACATGACACGCATACGCAATTTCCCCCCCAATCCACTTCAGTGCAAACTCTGCCCCACAGCTGATTCTAAAGATTTTATTGGTTGTGTCAATTAAAGTGTTGATTTCCTACATTATGCTACAAAAAATGCTAACCCCTAAACCTACCCCACACCTGACCCTAACCTTAACCAGTGAAATTGACTGCACAGCGGGATTGGCGCTGAATAGCGTGGTAAAGAAAGTTGCGGTTCAGGAGATAAATGGTAAAAGATTATGCGATATGAGATCGTTCCGTAACTCCCCAACCGGACCTCACCGGACAATGGCACCTGTTTAGTTACACCCAGCGTCACTACCCACTCCTACCCTGCGAATCTCGTGCTCCGGGACGCCCCCGCTGCTTAGAACAAAGCCATAGAATAAAATCTGTCCCCTGTGCTGGGATGGCTCGCAGGAGAGCTCGTGGGTGATTCCCGTTTACATCATGAAGCAGAGGTTCAAACTCCAGTCCGAACACCACTGGCAACGAGCTTTGGGCTCTGCTCTCACGGAGAATATTAATTTATATAGCATATTTTATTTTAGATCAACTAGAAACGATGTTTAACTTCTAAAGTTTTATTTTGAAATGAAAGTCAATAACAATTGGCTGAAGCCAGAGCCAATGGTGAAAGTCTTTGCGCGAAGAGACCCCGCCCCATTTTGGAGGTTCTGCCCACTTTTGGAGTTCACGCCCCATTTTGGAGGTTCTGCCCACTTTTGGAGTTCACGCCCCATTTTGGAGGTTCTGCCCACTTTTGGAGTTCACGCCCCATTTTGGAGGTTCTGCCCACTTTTGGAGTTCACGCCCCATTTTGGAGGTTCTGCCCACTTTTGGAGTTCACGCCCCATTTTGGAGATCTCCGGTCTGCAGTTATACCTACCGTACTTGCCCTTTTGGCTGCTATATGCCCTCGGATTTCGGATAGGGCCTTCATGTCTTTTGTATTACACTTCAGACTCGCACAGTTGTTTCAAAGTAATGCAACCAGCGCCATCTTGTAATTTATTTCAGGATTGCAGTGAGAATGTCCTCAGAGGACTTCAGTATATAGTACTGTGAATGTGATATTGTAATGATTGTTGTGTTGCTAGGCCAGTTGTTTTGTTATGGTGTAATTTTTAAACTTCTGAGTACATTAGATTTACTTGACATGTGTGGACATGATGTAGCACTTAATTTATATAGTAATATATATATAGTGATGTTTACATGGTTCTATGATGTCTGACAGATAAGATGTCTGAAGATAAACCTCTCTTTCTTGACCAGCTTTCTCTAGCTATGACTGTATAAGAAGCACAACATCACTCTCAACATCCATCCAAACGACAGAGAAATTCCTGAGCTCTGCAACAGTTTCTCATATCACATGGAGTCAGAATAAGACACTGTAAGTTGATCAGACATGAACAGAAAGCTATTGTTCAACATGGTAAAATAAATCAATTCAAAACAAGACGGCAACAAACCCCTTCTTGAGAACATACATAAGAAAAATAAATGATTTATTATTAATTATTTACAGAATTCTAAAGATTAGTTCACCCAAAATCATTTCATTCCAAACATGTATGACTGACTTTCTTCTGTAGAACATAAGTATTGATAGGAGACATTTTGAATAATAATCTTTTCAATGAAATTGTAAATAGGAATTCACAGTTGTTTAACACAATTGTTAGCAGGCTGAAAACTCATATGTTTTTTGTTTTGTAGGTCCCAGTCTGGTTTACCACTGTGGTATGAGTGTCTTCGTTGGATTCTCTCCTCAGTTATGATTACCATCTTATGTGTAGTGCACGCATGCTCAAAATATACATCAAGAAGACTTAGGGCTCAAGGCAAACACCCCAAAGACATCTGATTAAGAATCATGGTTGCAGCTTTATTACAAGTGTTTCTTTTTTTATGGTGTGCATGTACATACTTTGCATTCTTTTTAATTCACGCTGTCTAAAAAAAATATATTCCTTGTTCTTATTATCCACAAGGTGTACAATGCCCCAAACTGCTTAATTCATTCAAACTTCCTTTTGTAGATATTTTAGCTTTAGGTGTGTCTGTTTTTTTCTGAAAATATATTGAAAAAAAAATGTATATGGACAGACAATCCTCACATTGCAAGCAGATATCAACATTAATGCAATTAATATTTTCATGCAAAATATCACACACAATGACCTTGATGCATGGAAAGTGATCAAGGAACTGTAAAGATTAATTTTTCTTACTTTGAAAGTTTTATATATACACTGTAAAAAAATAAAAAAGGCAACCAAATACACTCAATTTTTTTAATTAACTATATTTCTGTTTTTTTTTTTTTTTTCATTTAATGCAGGGATTCCCAAACTTCAAGTGAAAATATTCACTTGAAGTACCCCCTGAGATTTTAACTTATATTTCAATTATTCCACACATTCACATATTTACAGTTCTCTGGTGTCGCATGAAACACAGGGAAATAAAATGTTTTATTTAGTTTTTTTATTTTAAAATTATTTATTTATATTGTACATTATACGTTTAGCATTTGATTAATAGTCTAAAGCAGGGGTGTCAAACTCAATTCGTGGAGGGCCGGAGCCCTGTAGAGTTTTGTTCCAACCCTGCTCCAACATACATACCATGTAGTTTTCAAATAAGCCTGAAAAGAGATTGTCTTACTATTGGGAGATGAGAGGGTCTGTATTACTTACTATTGGAGAAAGCGTAACGGTCAACTTGGATCAAGTGTGCCTTGATAACCAATCACATTACAGCCTCATTGTCATTGAATTTCAGTCAGAGTTGTGCGACACTCGATCGCAGTTTACGGATACCATAGGAATGAATAAGAAGTGTATGTAAGCTGAATCCCACCTGTGGTAAAAAGTCTGTGACTTCTCTTTTAAAACAACATTTTTTCGGTGTAAACTAAAAAATAGTTCAATTCAAAACTATTGTTTAGTGTAAAACATGTCGAAGATTAGCCGATAGGCTGACGATTCATTAAATAAGCCGTTTTCTCAAAAAAGCTGTTTATTCAGCATAGTGAAGCCTCTCCTCCATTGACATACATTCAAACAAAACAGCCTCTGGTTCCCTGCGTACCACCAAAGCGGAAGCATTAGCATTATTAGCTGTTATCAATATGATCAAAATATGAAGTCTGAACCATTATAGCTAACAGTGATGACAGAAGCAGCAAAAATAAAAGCATTAATTTTTTTTTTTTTTTTTATAATAGTAACCACATATTTTTTTTCAAGCTGCAATACATGCTGATTAAACAAAATAATAAATTGACTACTACTAAAAAAAAAAATCTTAGCATTAAGTTTTAGAGATTGTATATTTCTGCTAAAAACATTTCTGGGTAATGAATCAAGGAAGTTCTTAAATATAAAATATTTACTGCATAAAAACAAAATATAAATGTGCTATTCATTTCTTGTTGGGTATTTAATTAAGAACATGTATCTTTAATTCAAAAAGAACACTTTGAAGAGATGAGCCTATTATGTGCACTTTAAAGTTTGTAGTTTCTTTTAAAGGTCTAAAAAAGAGAGAAATATGACCAAACTCATGTTCATTTACATGAAACTGTTAGACATTTCAAAGGGTTTTTACAGTAACTTACTGGCACACTGTTGCCAGTAAGTTACTCTAATTAAGATTTACAGTAGCAAATTGTATTTGATTTACAGTAGCAAACTGTACCGTTTTACAGTAAATTACTATAAAAAAATCAAATTCATCAGTATACTGCTGTAGTTCATTTATTTTAATATAGATTTCATTTGATTTTATACAAAAAATGCAGTAAAACTTAAATTCCATTAAAAACTATAACAAACTAATTCTAAAACTAAGGCAGCTAGCCATAAAACCAAGTTTAATCTAGCTAATATATGATTTTATTTTCTCAATAGGCTACTGGCCAACATTAACTAACACCTGAACAAAATTTCACATTAATTAACTTATGTTCTTCTATAATCCATTTTATTCTGCATGAACTTGTGGGCGTCAACAACATGCGACTCATCCTGAACCCAAGAAGATCCCTTATAATTTGCTGTTTCACTGCTGTTTTTGTTCCAGAAAATAAATTACTCTGGAATTATATTGGGCTAGTTCAGAGACTATGGGATTTAAATTGCGGTATCTCTGTGCTGCGGCCCTCTTCCTGTGACTTCTGAAAGCTGGGAATATCAGAGGTGAGTTTGATACTCATCAGTCATTCAGATAGCTACAATGAATGACATCTATAATATCGTACCAATCTATTATATCGTGAAATACACATCTGAAATTGTCTGTCTGTAATTTGACAGAACAAAAATTGTAAATGATTTTATTATTTACCCTTACCCTAAATATTTGTTTGACAAATATTGTGAGAAAATGTTTAAAACCCGAAAAGATTCAAGTTAAATATATAGACTGACACGCAGCAAAGGACTCCACAAAATGTCAGGTACTTTTTGTCATTGATCTGTATGGCAAAAAGTTGCCCAATGACTGGGTTACTGGAATACTACATCAGATTAAAAGAGTGAGATTTGTTCTTCTCCTTAGCCCAATGCACACAGCCAGAGACAGACTTTCCCATTAGGCAAAGGTAGGTGACCACCGCCCCCAAAAGCCAAGGGCCCCCTAAAATATTGTTCATGTAGGAGATGCGTATTAAGCACGGACACACGAACGGTTGCTGTGGTGTTCGTTACCATGACAACTGTCTGCGTGTCAGCATTGAACGTGCTTCTTGTGTATCCTTGTAGCAAATGAAAATATAATGCATCTGAAGCTGTAATTAAATATTGAACAACAGTGCGTATTGTATTTTTATTGTTTTAAATGCTGCTTTGCTACTCGTTTTTGAGAAGAACCCAAGCAGAGGACGCATAGATACTTTCCACACACACATATGCACATATGTTCTTCATTTTTGGTTGATATCACTGATCTATAATAGATTTATAATAGTCTATCTATAATAGTCGTGTTAACAGCAGACCTTTTCTCAACACAAAGTTTCCCAGATGGATCCACTGTAACATTTGAGTGCGTGATTGGACACAAGCCAGACCTAAAAGTATCTAGATCAGTTACCTGTGAGGGAAACCAGTGGACAAGTCTGGAACTCAGTTGCACAAGTATGTACTGTCATTAAATATGTTAAGTACCCGACATTTGTAAATTCCTCTAAAGTGCCTTTAAACATTATCTTTTTTTTTTAAATCTACTTTTTAAAACATCTTTTGTGAGTAGTTGAAATGCATCAACAAGCCTTAAATGTCTCATAAAGGTTTAGTAACTGACACTAGGAAGCATAACAGCATCACTCATGGTTTCCTCCTGGAATTAATCTCTACCTTAAATAATACTGAAACAGTAAACGCTGTTTTCATTATTTGCATCAGCATGTGAAGATCACCAATTCTAAAGCAATCAGTAATATCTTTTATAAAATACAGGAAAATCCTTTGGAAATCTTACAAATTTCTTTCATGGGAGATATGAAGTAACTGGAAATTTATTTGGTGACACGGCTAAACCAGTTTGTGACAAAGGGTAAGTGAAAGTCATTTTCTTTGTGGTGGATTAAGTGTGTTTTAAACCATGTGGAATTTAGATTGTGTGCTGTGTTTGTTGAGTATTTAGTAAGATGAGAATCGTTGCTTTCAGATACATGTTAGCGGGTAAGGAAACAACTAGAAGATCAGGGATGGGATGGCCGAGATCCTCTCTGTGAACGTATGTCAGTTCTTACATTTAAATGAAATATAATATTGAAGAGTACAAAACCATTTACAATTTGTATTAAAAAAAATTTTTTTTTGTCCTGGAAATAAATACCTATTCACCTGGATATGTGTTTTTCTTTAGCGGTGAAATGTTCAGCACCTCCAGCCAAAGAAAATGGGAAACTTGAAGATACTTGAAGCCTTTGGAGAGTTATGATTATTTAGAAGCAGTCTCCTATAGATGTAACAAAGGACTTAATCTTATAGGACAATCAACACTTCATTGTTCTGAGGATGGAACCTTTAAAGGGGTCATATGATACTGCTAAAAAGAACATTATTTTGTGTATTTGGTGTAATGTGTTAGAACGAGCCGTTTTAGGTAGGCGTGGCTAACTCTTAACTTTTATAAAGAATATCTCTTTGGTTTTGAGACTTTAGTGTTTGCAACTTTACAGATCTTCTTTATGCACCAAGAGCTTGTAACACTCTAAAGAGAAAGGAAAAATTGAAATCGCATCATATGACCCCTTTAAACCAGATCCGCCAAATGTTTTGGTAAGTTATGGTTAAAATGCCAGTCATGAGATGAAGAAAAAAAATCTTGTGAGTTTCTTCCTTTTAATGAATAAAATATTTAATGATCAATACTTTTTTATTTTTTATTTCCTTTTTTTCCCAAATGGGTGTCCAACGCCTACAATTCCTAATGAATAAAGAATCCGTGGAAAATCACCCCCCCAAACTGGGTAACTTTATAGAATACAAATGTGAATGTTTCAAAATAATACATTTAATATGCACTTAGTATAGTATAATTTAAATATAGTAAGTATGTCTGAAAAAGCACAATTTAAATATATTTCTTTTTCACCTGGGTATACACTGAAAGGAGATGCTTATATTGTGTGTAGAGTAGAGGTCTACACGGAGGACCCGAGACCCGACGACCCGGGATCCGTACGGGTTCGGAGCTATATTTTAAATGGTCAGCCGGGTCGGGTCCCAATCTATTACTTCGGGTCCCGGGTCTGTTTAACATTGTGTGTAATACCCGAGTCGATCGGACTCGGAGAACACCCGGCCGTTATCAGAGTCAGTCAGCGCTGTGCGTGTGTTGTTTTGTAACTTTCAACTTGTAAAATTAGGATGAGAAAAGTGTGAGTCGGTAATTTGAAATAAGGTGAAAAAAACAAAACCACGAGCGACGTCATCAGAAGCAGGGTGGGCGGAGTTAATGCACACGCATGGTGATAATGGATACCTTCATGAGTGATGTGAGTTATTATTGATTATTTTTTAAATAACATTATGAATGAACCATCTTGTTGTTATATCTAAAATTTTTGCTCAGACTCGGCTCAGAGAGCACAGAGATGATAGCAAATAAGTAAAGCTAACGCCAGCAGCCATGGCACTGGACGAGCAATCGTTATCAAATGGGCAAACAGTCTAAATTATTATGCAAGTTGACTCGAGATACAAAAGATGCAAAACTGCAAAGTCACATTTGTCATCCGTCACTGTAACAGCAAGTGGACTTTTGAAACTGGAATAATGAGTGGATTACGCATTTCAATTGGCAAGAGAGGAATAACATGGATGGAACTTTCTTGGCAAGGAGGATTGTGTGCATCACAGTCAGGTACAAGGGAGAAGGCTTCTTACATTAGGTAAGACAAAAAGTTTAATTTTCGCAACTTGTTTATCGACTTGTTAATAGCAATTTGCTGTGGAATATGTACCGATCGGGTCCAGTCGGGTCTGTGTCTTCCCGGCCAGGTTCGGGTCCATCTTTCAAATAATTGACGGTCCGCGACGGTTCTGGGTAGTACATTTTTGACATTTCTCAGTTCTGCACGGGCCCGGGTCCAACTTTCAAAATAATGACGGGTCCGGCTCGGTTCAGTGTAGCACATTTACGGGTCTCTTCGGGTTCGGGTACAAATTTTTGGACCCGTGTAGACCTCTAGCACAGACTCATTTTGCTTTCGCACAGGACGCATTTGCAGTCCGCTCCTGATCCTCGGCTGTTTACCACAAACACAACATTTATCCATTATTTTGATTTCAAATCCAAACGTT